GTGGTTCTTCAAGATGTGCAAACGCAATTTACTTCAACTTTGGAAGCTTATAACAGGACATTGGTAATAGCTATCAGGGTCAAACTTGGTATTCTAACATATTTTTCGCCATATTTCACAAATATGGCCTTAGATTAACAGTTATCCCTTCCCTTTTGAAGTTATCTGCACTCAAAGAGCCGCTTTGTTTAACAATGCAATTTTTTTTTGTGATTTTCGAGGTCACCCTGCGTCTATTTGAGTGGGTATATACACCTCATATTACAGAAATATTATCTATGTGTAGTTGTCTCTAGCCACAGGCAAGCGCAGGCTGATCAAATCAATTATAATTGAATGGCATATATTCAAAGTTGGGACCAGTTCTATAAAAGTGAAAAACGCCAATGTTTCTCAACAACGGATCGTCTTGTGGAAAGTTAAAATCTTTTCTTAAATTTACCCCAGTTAATTAGATATATTAGATCTACCTATAAACCAAATTTCAGGTTTGGTACTCAGCTCCTTCATGGTTAGATACTATGTTGAAAACTACACAGTAACATAATCGGAAATCACGAAAGTTTTTAAGAGTTTTAAGAGTCATTCTATGCCAACTCAACAAATGCATTACACCAGGGACATAGATTTCTAAATTTTGTTTTGGACACTGTCTCAGTGATATAGATATCTATGTGAACTGAAAACCTGAAATTTTGAGACTTGCCAATTCATTTGTTTTCCTGTAGCGGCAGTTTGAGGTTAAGGGGGTGTGCCTCTCAACAAATGCATTACAACATTACAGGTCATAGATTTTAATTTTTTGCACCCTCCGGCCTTGTAAATAGAAAAACCTGAAGTTTTGAGACTCAAATTCCCTTTACGTTTTCCCGTAGCGGCAATTTGACGTAAAGGGGGTGTGCCTCAAATTAACTTTGATTTTCGTATGCTAATATCATCATACAACCCCTTTAACCTTTTGTGGTGTAAGACACCCTTTACTGCTGATTCCAAATCCTTAAAAACATGTTTTTAACACATCATCAACAATAATACCCTACTTTTGTATAAATATTTTGCTTTAATTTTCTAAATCTATGTCATATATAGACCCACTAAATTTTCTATGAATTTCATATTTATTTATCTAAAGTTATTTCTGGTTTAATTCTTAATGTGCAACTTCAACCTGGGTAATAATAACCTCATCAAATTTGTATTGTGGG